ATACGTTGCCGGCGTTCAGGCTTTAAATGTCTCTTAGGTCGCCGGCGCTCAATGTGTTAATAACGTTCTTCTCTCGTTTCAACTTCGAATTTAGCTGAAGTTGATGGAAAATTTGGGTATTGTTTAAGACTTTTGCGACGACCCTAGGGTGTACTGAATTTATGTTTCACGCATATTTGTGCTTGTTTCTCAAAACTTAGCTACTTTGCTGTATGAAAATGTATCGAGAAGTTGAATTCTGAAACCTAAAATATTTATCTATCTTGATTTAAAATTATGTGAAATTTAACTCTTTTGGGAGAAGTGATTTAAGTTGGGGGTAAAAATTGTGACAGTATTATATTAATAAATATTTCAAGGTGAAAATCAGATTTAATGAAAATTACTGAAAAATTTGGAAAATTAAATAAAATTCAAAGTTGAGTTGTCTTATTTTGCAAATATTCACGATAACACGAAAGCTCAATTTTTCCCAGAGGGTGTTTTCACCTTTAGGACTATTTCACTACCGAAACAGAAAAATAGTTTCGTTATTAACATCAATGGAACTAAATTTCTGCAGTTTCAAAGTTTTTCAAATTTTCCAATTACCAAACACTTCCCCTATTAACTAACCACCTAATACACGATACATTTATATTATCGGACGACTGCAAAAAGTCAAATGAAACGAAGAATTATTGGAAAACAGAACACAAGCGGTGTATCTTTCGATATGAATGTAACGATAAGGTGTTCCCGGGACCTCCGAAAATCGCGTACGAGCTTCCATCCACCGAGATACTGAAAAAAAAAGAGAGAAAAACAGACCGATCCCGACCTGTTGATCGAGAGAGATAAATGATCCTGGAGACCGGAAATTGAGGATGAAGCAACGTTGATTCGAGGGATTGAACGGCTCGAATCACGTTTCGTTCATTGTTCGAAAGAAACTCCTACTCTACGATCGTTTCGTCGATCCCCATATGACCCGAGCGGCACGAGAATTCCGATAAACATCTCATTTCTCCTATCCAGCCGATAGGAGGACGGCGGGTTGTCGCGGGAACGGGTCGCGAGAGGGTGATCGATGAAACGTGACCGGGTCAGAGGGTTAATTAGTTTCCGGCTGGCGCGCTAAAAAATTCGAGCGTGTCGAGGGTCGAGGGTTCGTCGCGGAGTTTCGAGCTTTCGAACCAACCTAGATCGTCGAGAGAGAGAGAGCAACGTGCATTGTGCTCGACGATTGAACAAAAAAATTCGTTATTTCTTCGGTCGAATTTCAACCTCGAAATGATTGTAACGGATTCCATTGTTCCCTTGCACAATGATGAACAGTTTTTTTCGGCCAACCGCGTATAGGGTAAAGTTGCCTAATACAGGACCCATTTCTTAAAGAAGTCATAACAGTCGACTAAGAACACTTTCGTTAAAATTCGATGCATGTTTTAAAAGTACGATATGTATTCTTTCGTAAGGTGCTGGAATGTACAGTTCGTAATAGAATAAAAAGGAAAATTATGCAAATATGTCAAGTTGCCTAATACAGGACCCATTTCTTAAAGAAGTCATAACAGTCGACTAAGAACACTTTCGTTAAAATTCGATGCATGTTTTAAAAGTACGATATGTATTCTTTCGTAAGGTGCTGGAATGTACAGTTCGTAATAGAATAAAAAGGAAAATTATGCAAATATGCCTTTTTTCACACATTCGGCATATTAAATCTGTTTCTTCGGCACTTTGTACACTAAAAGAAAATTGGGTACCTAATATGAGACTCTTCCGAGTAGCTTGGTTATTTAACGATACGCAACTGGTAAGCCTTAAACTCCATCGCATGCACTGTACAACAGTATTTATGAAAATGATTAGAAACTTACTATTTTCGAGGTATTTGTAATTTAATCGAACCACTTGAAAAACTTTCATTTCAATCAAATTTCATATTTAATTTGATAATTAACGCGGTTAATTACGAAACAAAGAGTTCTGTAACGGAGATAAGCTGGGGTCTCTTACCCTAAACACGTTCACTGTCACGCCAGATTTACGTTTTTCTCAGGGGACCAGAAGGAAACTTTCATTATTCTAAGCATAGTATTGTATTATGCTTATTATGCCTCTCTATTTTCCCTGATTAGTTTCCTATTTTGGGTATGGAGGGCCCGATACTACATTATTTTTATTTTCTTTTAATTCAAAATCATGTCTAGCTATGTTAAATGGATATTCCACGAGTGTCTTGTTCTTTCTAATTTTTCCAATATATGCGCTATCGATTAACGAGTTTAATCGATAATCAACCGATGGCGCATGAGTTCAGCGGAAGCCTTTTCTTTTGTTTTTCGTGTGCGGTGGAAATTTCGTTTCGCTACGTCAGATATTACTTATCATCGTCTTTTCGTAATTACTAAAATTTAACAAAAAACAAATAACCTACTGTAGGCATTTTGGGACGGTTTATGGCTTGGCCTGCGCCTCTTGAGTACCCATCGGTTCGGCCCAGCGATATCTTTGCCATTCGACGAGAGTCGAGACGGACGCCGAACAGTCCGAAATAAACTACTTTGCACGACATCCTGATTTGAGTAAAGTTCATTAGACCACCTTCTACACTACGATGTTCAAAATTCTTAGTCGACGGTGTTCCTTTCGTTTGAATTACTCCAAACATTTAAAGCCCTCCGGCGGTCCGATCGAAGTGTATGTTGGGGTCTCGTATTAGGCTACTTTACCCTATATATTATAACGACACACCGTTGAATAATTCTTTTTTTTTTTTTTTTTTTTTTTTTTTTTTTTTTTTTTTTTTTTTTTTTTTTTTTTTTTTTTTTTTTTTTTTTTTTTTTTTTTTTTTTTTTTTTTTTTTTTTTTTTTTTTTTTTTTTTTTTTTTTTTTTTTTGTTGCTTCGATTACATATGTTTTCGGTCGATCGAAAAATATGGAAAATAGGAATTACGGGAGAATATTTCCAACAGTTGGGAAATTTCGCCAGATTCACTCTGGTGTATCACCAAACATCCGTCGAACGTCGAATATCGCTTCCACAGATTGCCAGTGGAATATTCGACCTCTTTTTTTTGTTTCTCGTTTTTGTTTGTTCTCTCTATTGTTTGATCGCACCATTCGGAAATTAACGCTCCGTCGGTCATGTCGCTTAAACAATATTCGCCCAAGTTCGCGTTAGCGTAGGAAATTTCGAAAAATAAAGCTTCGACGAGAACTGCCCGGTTTTGCCTGAGAATCGGAGCAATTAACCCTTTCGCTGCGGCAGATTTTAGTACGTAATCGCAGCCGCGAAATCCTCAGTTTCGACGTTTAAAAATTTTTGAAATATTTCAAAGTTAATAATCCTGGAATTCGTCGTTTCCAAATTTCTTCCATCAAACTAAGGTGGAAGCGCGCAAAGGACAAACAAGAAAGACAAAAATTCCCAAAGCGTCTGCAGGCGCCAGCAGCAGTGAAAGGGTTAAAGACCGACGTTGCGTGGAAAAGAAACTTTATTAAAACCGACGGAACGACGACAATACAGAGGATGAATCGAGGATGGAAAAACAGAGCTATTTAAGGGTTTGAGGAAGAAGAACTTTGGGTTACGACTCTGTAGAGGAGTCGAAAGATGAAGAGTCCAATGAGTAACGACGAAAATTGCCGACTAAAATATTGGGGGGTATAAAGAACGAAGAAAGGAGTTGTTAACGTAGCTTCCCGCGCTTCTTGTTGGTTGAAAGGTCGGGTTGGCGTTGGTAATTATTGCACGTGTATGTGCCAACTACTTATTGTCGCGATGGTGATCGCACTTTATGTATGATGTCGATTATTGCGGACTGGACCGCACTGGTGTATTAAAAATATCGAGTATCGCGTGTTAGAGCGCTCAAAGTGGTGTCGATTGTTTCTATGTATATCTTAGAATCTGCCCGAATGTCGTGAACTGGCTGTATATCTATCATTTCGTCAAAATAGGGAGTTTACCTAGTTGGCAAATCATGGGCCTTTTACCCCCTAGAGCCGCCCTCCTAGGCCCTCGTGCACTCCCCCGTGGTCCGCAGAGTAGGGCGTTGGCAGAGAGGGAGAGACGGTCCCAAACGAGGGTGTAAGCCCCGCCTGGCGATCTTGCCGAAACGGCATGTTTGCGGTTACTGAGCGCGCAGAGGCAAGTGCCGGCTTACCATGTGGCCCGCAGAAGTGGAGAATTTCCGCGGCCATCAGGTAATAAGCAGGATTTGCCCTCTGGCTTGAATAGGCTATTGTTATCAAAAAACTTGTAGAAGAACTTCTCAAAAGTAACGTCGCTTGGAACCCGTGCCATAAACCCCTGTTGGTTAAACAGGAGTTGTACGTAATACCTACTCTTCCTGCATCAAAAATTCTTCCTAACGGTATAGAAAACGAACGATAGTAAGCGAGTTACGGCGTGAGATATTCGAGCTTCGAGGGGATGAAAGAAGCGCAACTTGAGATACAGAGAAAGAGAGAGTTAGATGTGGTAGAAGAAAAGGCTGCGGAGGAGGAGATGTATCGCGATTCAGCTTCCCTGGCTATATAGGAAGTAAAAGTTTGGGGTAAGGCGGTGGGGTAATAGTGTGATGGCGATAAAAATAAATAATAGAAGGCGCCAGACGTATCGATCCCCGAGTTCCTCTCCTCTAGCCACGCTCTATAGAGCCTCCTCCGTTCGAGTCTCTCTTGTTCGGCCTATGCGTGGCTAACGACGAACGCGAACCACGTCTCTTTTTCGTCCTGGTTGTTTCACTTGTTTCGTTAACTAATGCAGGCGCCACACGCGACCGTCTCTCTTGCCGTATAATTGAGACGAACGCTAATTTCTGCCCTGGCTATCGACCAATCTCTTCCTCGCTTTCTCGCTCTCGAGAATTACCGACTTCTCGACTGGCGAAGATTAAGTTGTTGAAGTAGAGTTGACGTTTTCACGGTGGTAATTTTTTCAATTTGCTCGAAGTTCCTTCAGGTGTGTGTTGGTGTATTGATTGTTTCTATGTGCTTTCCGTTTGCAGGGGAATAATCCGAGGAACGGATGCCCGGTGTGCGAGAAACGCTGTCCGAAAAGACTGACCAAGCCTGACGAGTACCTGTGCTGGAATCAGCAACACTGCCAACGAAGTAACACTTTTTTTCTTACAATTTACGTTGCTTTACTTGATAATTAACCCTCGTACGACGAATGCAGGGTCTTTTTGACTCGACAGCGAGATAAAGTCAAGTTTGGTACAGGAAATACACCTGTTTTACGTATCAAAGTTACGTAGTTGAAAGTACACACGTTTCCTTCTTGAAACCTGTGTATTATAGAAATTTTGCTATGGTTCAAAGTGACCCTGCATTCGCCTCCCGCGTCCGTCCAAAACCATTCGCCTTCCGAGGGTTGAGACTTTATTCTGCACATACGTGCAACAACGTTCGACGTAAGAACAACCGTAAAAACAACCTCTCCGTTGCTTTTCTCTAGATGTCATTGTTCTTCAATCCTCGACAGGTTCATTTCGGATGGAATAGACGCGCTTCGAGGTTCAACCTTTTAATTGGGGAGCTAACTCGCGAATGAATTATCACATTTCTTTGTTCTGCGCTTTAACACTTCGACTGCCACGTTGATCACCTGTGACCGGAGACTGCTTCCTCGATGGGGCCACGGTGGTCATCGGTGACCTCAAATGTTTAGAGTAATTCAAATAAAATGAATATCGTCGACTAAAAAATTTCAACATCGTAGCTAACGTAGCATTATTTCGAATTTAAAAAAACAATAATAAGGATTAAGACACTATATGTATTTGTTTATTTACTCAGCCTCGTGGCCAGAAGAAGGGACTTGGTTTACAGTTATGTCTTATATTCTTATACATATCTATCCCGGTTTTATCCCCCTCCTTCCTCTTCCTTTCTAGATTTCCCGATCAGTTCAGAGCTTTTTCTGACCCCCTTTCATCCGTTGAC